CGGATGACACAACGGTGGTAGGTCTCATCAGCAACAGTGATGAAACGCACTACAGAGAGGAAGTGGCAAAGCTGGCTGAATGGTGTGGCACTAACAACCTGTCCCTCAATGTAAATAAGACAGAGGAGGTTGTGATGGACTTCAGGAGAAACTCCGTTGACCACCCCCGTATGTGAAGCATCCGTCTAGTCTGTATTTTATTTTTTTTTTTAATTTTTTAATTTTTGTATTTATTTATTTATTTGTTCATTTATGCATAGGTAAACATTTATATATTGTATATTCATAGTCAAAATCTGTCAGTAGGTTAGCTGTGTATAGGTACAGTGTTTATGTGAAGCATCCGTATAGTCTGTATTTTTTTAACTTATGTATAGGTAAACATTTATATATATATATAGTATATTTATAATCAAAATCAGTCAGTAGGTTAGTTGTGTATAGGTTTTTACTGCTTTACTGTATAGGTTTTTACTGTTTTACTTCATTGTTGTATGCCTGTATTTATGTAACACCGTGGTCCTGTGAGGCACGACATTTCATTCCACTGTATGTCCCCACATGCAGCAGAATGACAATAAAGCTCAACTTGAACTTGAACTTGAACTTGGATGCTGCAGAGGGCTGAGTGATAGAATCTCTCATCGCAATCAATTTTACTCCTCATTCATGGTTTTCTTGCTAAAACGATAGTGCATTTCATTTTTGTTCGCTATTTTCACTGCTGTTTGGAGCTTTATTGACAAGACAAGACAACATTATAGTTGTGAGTGGTGCAAACTGATTTCTCAAAGATGAAAGTGATGAAAAAAGATTGAAGATATGATGGAAATGTAACATTCATGTGCATTTACCTCAACAAAGATCAGAAAAGAGTCACAGGCAAGACTGCTGGGCTTTGCATACAGCCCTATTTATTTCAACATGACTTCTGGGTAAACGTGGTAGTTTGAAGAGGTTGGATAATGCAGACACTACTTTGGCAGTCAACATCCCTTGAGGTCAGGTATAAGAGTTTATCATCTAGAAGCTATGATTAAGGTATATCCATGATAGCAGCCTCTGTATTTTTTCCCATTTAAATCAATTAAACCTGAACACCTTGTAGCACTGAGTGCATGATTAATGCAGGCCATAAGTTATTCGGCCTCCAGCACCTCTGTTTTGAGTAAGCACACTTCAGCTGACTGCCTGCCGCTGCAGGAAAATGCAAATTACATCCAGTAAAAGGGAAATTAATTGATTCTTACACACTATTTAATTTCCTGTGCTTTCTAGAGATATTTGGGATACAGTCTGGACCATATTAACAAGAGCTGGAGAATGTATTTGAGCTTGTTTTGATCAGGTAAATGGGCTCATTACGTGTGTGTGTGTGTGTGTGTGTGTAAAGTGTTCTAAACATGCCATTAGTTACTGTATGATTTATAGATTTTAGCACTTAAGGAGCATCATGCAGGTATTCAGAAAACATGCAGAATTATATGAATTACCTACATTCAGTCAAAAGGGGAAAAAAAGCCTTTGGACTTTAGCATAGAAAAAATATTTTATAGTCAATAACTTTAGAAAATAAATGCAAAACATATTAGCTTTTCCTGGTAGTGCAATTTTTATTTTTATATTCATGTGTTCGAATGGCAGTGCTTTTTTATTTTTTATAATTGTTGCATGAATGTTGTCTGTTTTATAATGTGCACCTAAAGAGCGATGTGCGATGCTCTTTCTGCTGCTGCAAAAAATAAAAATAATAATAATAATAATTTTTATACATAATCAGTGATATTCTAGGCTTTATAGGCTGTAAATGTACCATGTCCTGCAGCATAATAAATTTATTTTGCATAATCTTGTTTCTGTTGCCCCTCTGTGGTCCTCATTCAGATGTAGTTCCCTTTCATGGGAACTTCGAACTGCGTCCTCTAGGGGTTGCTATGGGGAACGCCTCGTCATGACCCGTGTCTGAAGCATACATTGAAAAAACACCAACTCGTTGGCCGGCGACAGCCATGAACTGAGGTTAGGTGGGAAATTTTCCTGCATTATAGTCTCCTATGCTGGACCAATTAGGGTTGGTTGGTTCTATTGCTTCACAGTGACCATCTTACTGATGGTCCGGTCTAGAGGCTTGTTCGGACAGAGCTCCGACGCGGGAACCATGGTGGGTGAGTACGATCCATGTCTAAATAT